CTTCAATACTATCGCTTCATTCGTTATAACAGATGAAACAGATTTCATGGAGCTTGAAAATAGATGGAAAGAAGCACGAAATAAGATTTCACAATAATGTAGAATATAAGATGGAAACATTAGCTGGAGTGTTAAATGCTCTCATAAATACTACAATAAACAAGGATAACGAAGAAAACTTAATGAATGTTAAACTTATTGCAGGAGTTTTGAAGTTCAGTTATGCGAAGGAGTTTAAGATACCAAGAATGAGTCATAGAGTACAACTTCTTTTGGGTGCATACCATATGACATTTCCTTTGAAAAGTGTTGACAAAACGATTGAGATGAAATCTGTTCCATACGTATGTTATGGTAATTGTTTGTACATTGAGTCTAAAATAGCTAATGTCACAGGCATTTCAGGAGTTAATAGTAAAGGTTCAGTAGAATAAATCCTTCTGTTATGAAGTAAATTCAATGTTCATTCCAAACGTTCCTGTCATAGCAACTCATTTAGGTAAATGGGTTCGCATTAGTCCTCATAATTTGAAAGACATGCAATTCAGACTTGTTGACTTTCAAGGAGAGCCTGTAGAACTGAAGGCACCAGTGCGAATGACTGTTGAAGTTGACTTTTTAGAAAATATTAAATGCAACAGCTTACAAGAGAACTCAGAGCTAAAAATATAAAGTATGAATGTTATGTATTAGGTCATGAACTTTGGTTGTTGCTGTTTGATGAAACAAATGAATTAGTTATGTCAGTCAAGAGAACAGAAAAATATTGTGTTAGTGAAAACTGCACCAAGTCAATAAGATTAGGTTTGCATTATGAAGATGAGTTCGATACTGTTGAAGAAGTTTTGGGATAATTGATATTACAAAGAGCCCTCCTGACTGCTTTAATTTACTAAAACATATTTCAAACAAAGTTTATATTCTGTTGAAAGTTTTGTATACTCGTTCGAATATTTATACTTAAACTCAACTCCTGTAGTTCCTGGTGTTTCAATGATGCGGATGTTACCTATTTTCATGAATAGTGGAGTTTGACCACAGCATTCGATTTCAGGGTCGAGATAGTCAATGACACATTGTTTCCCTGTTATTCGTGATATAACATTTTCAAGGTCCTCCTTTGTTAGAATTATTTGGTTCTTGCTTATAAGATTGTCAAAAGCTTCTTATCGTCTTTGAGTAAAATTGTTTGGTATAACTGAAGAAGGTAATGGTCTACGTATCTGAAGGATTTGTTTGAACATTTGTGTAAGGTTGTCGTTGGCTTCTCTTGAAAGAATTTGGTCCAGTGGTGGATACTCTAACTTAACATCTGATGTAGCGTTAGCGTTTGAAGCTGTGTTTAAAATTCACCCCGACTTAAGTTCTGGTTCTTTTTCTTTCAAACACTCTGAACTATAGTTCTTTATGACAATATTGTTTGTCGTTCGTGAGTCAACATTTGATGTTGGTTCAATTGGAACATTAACGGCACCAGCTAAGATGGATTTGCTTCTCATTTCATATAGAATAAAAACCTTTTATATGTATGAAATGAACAATATACTCGACAAGGGTTTGAATGTAAAGCTAACGAATGAAAATATTGTTGAATTCACTGAGACAGGAGCTGTGTATAAAGATGTAGAACTACTGAACAAAAGAGCTAAGGGAAGAAGCAGGAACATGAACAAAGGGTGGAAGCCTATAAAAATTTATGTCAATGATGGCTCAGGAGGTTCAAACATAAAGTATGCAGAAAGTTATAGAGTTTATGCTCTCAAAGGTGAAAAGCCTTCATTTAAGAACAGCTATTCTAACGCATATCCTCAAAAGCTAACGGATGGGGAAGTGGATGATATGAATGACAGCAAAAATATTAACAGAAATGGCGACAGAGATGCATGGAATTTGTTTACCATCAGTCAATTGAAGGTTAAACTTTAAAACAATGTTGGTCGTTCCCATGGAATATTTTTGACTTTAATGGTATTAGTCATGATATGAATCTCAAGGTATGAACGAGGAGAGATGAGAGACTTATATGCTTCCCAAATTTCTTCAAAAGGTAATGTTATACCTGACTGTTTCCAAATGAGTTCAATATCATAACGTGAGAAACCTTGAAAGATAACGAAGTCAGTTATGAGACGTTTTATGTTTAAAGCTAAAAACCTCCATGTTTGCATAAGTATTGCTACAGTTAATGGTAATGTCTGACTTTAGTTATGATGTTAGCTAATGGTGAGTCTGGCTTTGAAACTAAACCTTTTCCGGCGAAGTCGTCACAAACAAAGTGTTTGAAGGATATTTTTTGAAGGGGTATTTTGAAAGTTTTGATAGAATGTAGTTTGTAAGTCGTTTCATATCGTAAACTCCTGAGTATTGACGTAAGTGGTGTTTGTCAATAATTCTTTCCATCTCTCTGAAGTCTTTTGCATTCCTGACTGTATAAATTCAACGATGGCATAATATTTCCTCTTACGTCGAATGTAACGTTGAAGAAATTCAATGAGTTCGCTGTCTGGAACTTTAACGACAGAGGCTTGAACTTTTGACATAAATGTTTTCGCTGTTGAGTCCATAGAGTCTGAAGTTGCTGATATAATGATTTGGTCATAAGTAAGAGTCATTTCCTAAACGTTCTGTTATGAGTATATGACGAATGAGGTTAAATGTCTTACCTGAACCATCTTTCCACAATAGAAATACACACCATTTGAACAGAACTCATAATCTTTGCTGAAAGGAAGAATAAGAGAAGAGTTAAGTTTGTCTGTAGTTTCATTCATGTCTTCATCTACGTCATGTATTAAATGCTTCATTTTATCTCCATTAAAAATGCAAGTCAGAAATATTCAGAACATAGCACCGAGTCTAACTGACAAGAGTATAAAGATATACTATGAACACGTTATGATGAAACCAACCAAAATTCAAGAAAGTCAGTATACTTATGAATATCCAAGACACTGGGTAGAGTATGTAGGAGGTGAGAAAGCTATTGAAATCAGACAGGTTCGAAGTATTCCAGCAGGAAGAACAATATTATTGAAGAACTTTAATGTTTTGAGATATAATGATGAAACAAAGAAGCAAGATAGTTTCCCTGTTGCTGTGTATGTGAACTAGACACAGGAGATGACATGAAAGTTTTTAATACAAAGCTTCAAACGGTAGTGAGAGAACAACTTACTGCGGAAGGACATCCATTACCTTCAGAAGTTACCATAGCATATAATTTTGAAACAAACTCAATAGATTTTAAAGTCGTCTCTGCAAAGAAGTCAGGTTTTACATTTAATGAAGCAGATGTATATTCGAATGAAAACTTCAAAGCTATTGCATGGTTAGATAATGACGATTGCTTTAAGAAAATATTTAAATTCAGTGACTCAAAGATGTCAATAGATGACCTTCGTGGAATGTTACCATCGACGTTTACAGTAGAAGGTTCAGCAGGATTGCTTACAAGATTGTCAATTGGTGGTATTTGGTCTCGTGAGAACATTGTTATAAAATCCAGTATAAGTGAATTTGCTGAAGAATCTATATTATGTCTTTCAAACTACATGTATTCGCCGCCGAAGCATTATAGTATAACAAACTTTGTCAGTAAGTTTAACATAAGACTTGTCGAACCTTCTTCAATGAAAGATGTTGTGCTACCTAAAGATGGAAAGGATGGACTCATTATTGAATGATTTTAATTGCATATTAAATGAGTTTGTTCTTGAAGGTCATTCATGATGAAATAACTGTTGTAGAAGATGTTAGCAATTGTTCAGACATTTTGAAGCGTATAGATGATATAAGAAATAAGTTAGATAGACCGCAAAGCGGTGAGGGCGAAGCCCGTGAGAATGTTTATGTTTCATTGACTTTCTCCAGTAACGAGAACTTTTATGAGATAATATTGAAGAGAGATGATTTTAATATGGTGTAAATGGTAGCTTGGGCAGCTTTAGGCGCAATGGGAACAAAAGCATTAGCATTTGGAGCAAAAGCACTTGGAGCTTATGACGCAGTAAATAAAATGAGTGGAGGAAGGGTTTCGAAGACATTAGATGCAAATAAAGGGAAGATTGGAGGCTGGGTTGCAAAGAAGTTAAGATTAAATAAAATAGGGCTCATAAATAAAGCATCCAATTTGGTTGCGACTGAGTCAGAAAATGCTTTAGGAAAGGACGATGAGTTTGCAAAACACGCAAAAGACTTTAATGACCAGATGAAAGGTGAAACAATGCATTTAAATAGAGTCGATGGAACTAAAGAAAATGTTTCTTCTCCACCAGTAGTTCTTCCGTATGGTCCCTATGGAATGTATGGAAACCCTTACGAAAGACCATTTGATCCATTGACTGGTGGAAGTAATTGGTATCATTACGGACGAAGAAGAAAGACAGTCAAGTTGGAGACAGACGTGAAGAAAGCAACTAAAAAGAAACCAAGGAAGAGAGTTATAAAGTAATGAATTCAAGTGGGTGAAAAAACAGGTGAAAAAAGAGGTGAGATCTCACCACTTCACCTAAATTTATTTTTGTGCTATGTTTTCATACGTGTGAGGGTGGTGAGATCATTTATTTTTTATTTTATTTTTTAAAATTATTTTTATTTTATTTGGATGTAATGACAGAACAAAAGCAACTCATACAAATCAAAACATATAACAAACATACATTTAAACATTTATTCTTCCTTCCTGAGCATAACATGTTCTTTCAAATACATCCGAGACCAGTTGACTTTTCATTGACTGTGTATAAAGATAGAAATAGTTATATCATTAAACCATACGATGACGAAGGTAAGTTATGTAAATTGTACGTTAAGAAGTTAGAGAAAGTTTATGGCTTCAAGTATGACTACAATAGGGTTAACACTGATGATGAAGATATTGAGGAAAATTTATGAGAACATTAGTGAAGTTGTTAGTGAGAACGATAGTGAGGTGAATTGTTGGCGGCTTTGTAAATATTTAAGGTTAAGTTAGTTTTTGCGTTCATGTTGTAAAATATACGTTAACGGTTTTGTAAAGTGTCAAATTCACAAGTATTGGGTAAGGTGGAACGCAGTGCCACCATACCCAAGACTTGTATACTAACTACTGCATAGAAAGCGTTATCGAAACCAATCCAAAATCCTGGTGGGTTTGTTTTATTGGAACCTGAACCAATTTCTTTATCTACAATAAATTGACCTTCCATTTTATACGTAATGAATGTATTGTAAAGGTCCAACATATTTTCACCAGGAGGTGAGAGATTGAATGTTACCCATGTGTTATCTTTAGCAGTTCCAGGTTGTGATGGAATCTTTGCGTCAGAATATTTTCTATTAGTGTCACCAATTTGAACTGCATTGTCTATGATATCGAAATATGAGCGAATCTGATGAATATGCTCTGCTGGAGTAAATTCGTTTAACTGTTCGTTCTGCATGTATTTACTTCAGATAAAAATATCTATTTACTTCATTATTCTCACTCTTCTTCTTGGTATTCGTGGTGGAAGTTGTTTCTTGACATTTTCAATGAACTGTACATTCTCTTTTGTCTCAACTTCTTTCACTGGCGGGTCAGGATTCTTTGACTCGGTTTGTTTTTCAATGAAATTCACGAACTTTGCAATAAGCTCTTGGTTCGTTATTGAAAGTACATCTGGCTTCTTTTCTTCTTGTTCTATTGGTGGCTCAGTTTGAACAGAAGGTTTTATATGGGCTTCACCCTTACCATACACCTTAATGTTGTCGCTTTCTGCATTCGCTAATGGAACCTTTCTTTTTCTTACGTATATTTTACCATCTTTACTCTGACTTACGTAATAGAAAGGATGTTGTATTCCTCTTGCGTCATTTAATATAATAGACTCTCGTTCTGATTTTGACAAGCTCATTTTACATCGGTTAAAGTTTTAAGTTTTTTATCTGCAGTCAAATGACTCAGACAAGCCCTACGGACAAGACCCAAGGGGTCATAGATGTTGAAGCATTGAAGAAAGAAATTCGTGAGCAAATTTTATCCGAACTGAAGGAACAAAAACAAGAACAAAAGCCAGAGAGACCAAAGAGAAAACTTAGTGAAAAACAACTTGCTGCATTAGCTGCTGGAAGACAAAAGAACCCAAGACTGCTGGCGAAGAAAGCTAGAGAAGAAGCTGAAGCAAAAGCTAAAGAAGCAAAGCAAAGAAAGAGTAAATGGTTTATTTTTATCGGAACTAAATGTATAGACAAATACCTTTATCTGTTGCGTTCAGTAGTGAAAACCCTGACGTCAAAATAAAGGGGAACAGAGTAACGTTTAAGTTTCCAACAGACTGGATTGTGAACATAAATGAAGAGAAGTACATTGGCATAACATCTATGTATATAACACGTGCTTTCAGAAAGGTTGACTTTATACTTCAAGTCGAGATAGAAAATGACGAACAGTCTTTAAGCGCCCAAAACATTCACATATACAAATACTTTAAAGACGATACAACATTGTTGCAATGTATGATTTCATTTAATGAGATGTTCGAGAAAAAGTTCAACATTGAAGTACAAACTTTACAGCCTTTACGTGAGTTTCTTGCACAACTGAAAGAAGAAGGTAGTCAGCCACAACTTATAGACTTTCATTATGAATTTAATGAAAATGAAGATGGAACACATGACTGTCAGTTTGTTGTATTCTCACCATTCAATGAAGTCGCTAAAGAGAAGAAAATCCATTACGTATAAGATTTCAAATCTCTGAACCAAGTGATGATTTCAAGAATGTTTTCAATTATGATGCAATGCTTCCGAGGAAAAATGAATTTTCAAAGATTGTAACACCGGCATTTGGGATAGAAAGCAAGCTATTTATTTCAAATATAAGTAAGGGAGTTGAAAATGAGTTCATTGGTCATACAAGAACTTCACCACTTCCTAACCCTAAATACTATAAATTAACTGGATTCAATCGTGAGTTTTGGATAGACATGTTCTCCACTCATGACCATAAAGCACCTGTTTTGCTACCTCCAGACCATAAGGACTGTCTCTACATTGAAGCACAACTCTTAAACTCTACCATCGCAGTATTGTAAAATCTACGCTAGCGGCTTATTTTTATCACGAATGACCTCATTGCTGACAAAAATAAATGACCTCATTGCTGACAAAAATAAATGACCTCAGAACTTCAACTTACGAATAAAGCTTGTTTTAGTCGTTATTGAGAAGTTAAACTTCTCTTCAAAGCAAGGTTGACACGACTTACATAAGTCGAATGCAATCTCTTGACCGTCATAAAGTGCTTTGTAAAGTTTCATTAAACTGAACTCAGAGTCTTTGTCATATGTTCCTTGCGGAACCATTAAACCTTTATCTTCATCATAGAAACACTGAACAGAGTCAGGAAACATTTCATTAGCGGTTAAAGCAATAACATCTTGCTTCACGCCTTTCATTCTGCAGTGAAATGCAACTTCATTTAAATCATTCGTGAGTAAGTCTATGTAAATCTTCTTTCCACAAAATATTGACTTGTATGCTAAACTTTGTTTCAGGTGTGATTTCTGCAAAGTCGCTATGAAATTGACCAAGGTTTTTACCAATGAGAACTCTTCCATAACGTTTCTCAAAACTCTTCAGCTAAACGAGGATATCTTCATTGTAGAGATGCATACTGTCCGTATCGCTATAAAAGATGTCCATTCCCATATCTTCAGCAGTACAGAATACTTCGCACATTATTCTCTTCGACATAGACAGAATGTTAACACCAAGTGGACAGAAGTTAAAGTGTCTGCAAATACTTTTCGTTAGCTTGAAAATAGTTTTATCTGAACCATCCAAACCTTCGAACTTCACTATATGGTTGTAGTTTCTGATGGCATATCTTATAGCATCTTTGTCATTTACTATGGTTATTTTTGACTCAATAGGAGATAGAATAGTTTTGCCATAAATACTGTTCAGAATGAGCTTTATATTTTCTTGCAAAGGATTTCCTTCTTTCTTATACTTTAACCTTAACTCAAACAACTTCTTTACTTCATCTCTTATTCTAATATCTCTGTTTCCATCGTAATAGTATCCTTGCAACACTTCACATTTGACACCTTGATATTTTATGAGGTCTTGTAATGTTATATGGTCAACATACATTAAACAGCAAGTGTTTGAACTTCTGGAACGTTAAGTTCTGGATTTAGTTCAGGGTCACAAACTATTAAAGGAAAGTGTCTATGTATTCCAATCTCTGTTATCTTAATGAGAACAAAGAAAGCCAGACATAAACTTTTCACCAATGGGTTCCTTTTGGTCGTCATCGAATAAATGTCTCATGAGATACTCTGCTTAACATTTCTTTCTTCATAACCTTTGGAATACCTTCTAAAGTATAAAGTCTTGCTATAAGCTGATGGATATAATGAAACAGCGTCGAAGTCAGCAATGAGTTTCTTTTCGCTCTTTTGTTTCATGTTATCTGACAGCATACATCTTCCACCTTGAATACAGCGTGAAATAAATTCTCTTGGTTTATTTGAGAGGTCATATAAATTTCCATTCGGGAAGTACACTCTGTTCTCAAACAATTTGTTAGCAATGAACAAATACTAACGTAGTCATAAACGTTTAAATCAAAACTCTTTCAATATGTCATTGCGGAACTTAACAAAAACCTTCTCTTAAAATTCTTACATCTTGTTTGCAATAAAATGTGCTATACTTTTCTAAGTCGAAGTGGTTCTCATCTATTCTGCAACCTTGATGGAATCTATGTTTTTCATGAATGTATCTGCATCCCGGATAAACTTACATGCTTCAGAAATGACACCAGTTCTGTTGTCATTTGCTAACAAAGTACTGCTGTAGTAGTTGTAATGGAAATACTTCTTTCGGTCCTGTTTGTAAGTTAAACATAGCAGGAAATAGTTTAAGCTTCTTATTTATAACACTGTAAGAGTCTTTTATAATAATTGCCCTTCCTTTATATAAGCCAGTTATTTGCATTGTTCGTGAACCTTTAATGATGGGAGTTCCTTTCACTTCTGTCATGTGTCTTAAGATGAAGTTTATATCATAACTGAGGTTATGGAAATATATTAAACTCTTGTCAGGAAGTCGCTCCAAAAATTCTGTTGCACAGTTCTGACCCCAAATGCTTTCACTCACTGAACCATCTTCACTGTCATAACAGATGTTAAAAGCTTTATGAAAGCCATCGGTACTGCACTCAAAGTCAGCAAAGAAAACGTGCTAGGAATGAACTTGCACTTATTTTTATTTACTTCTTTTGACTCGGCTTTCTTCTTCAGTTGTACACAATACTTTGGAGCATATGACAAATCTTTAAGTGGTACAAGGTTCTGTTTATATAAGTCAGTAGTATATGTGAAAAGTTCTCCATAAGAAATAGGTTCGAAATATTTGCACTCCCACAATGTTTTCATAACATCCCATAACGGTGTTGTTCTATCATAACGAACTACATATTTATCTTCTCTCTTTGTATAAATCTTCATCTGTTTTCTCAATGTTCATTCCACCACACTCCTTCAAGATTTCTGTAATTTCTGATGAAATATGTTGTCATTGGTAATCTTTCATTTTAGCATGTAGTGGTCTTCAACAAGAAGTAAGTCAATAGTTCGAGCAGTTTCACATTCTTTTGGTATGTAGTGAATTATTCTTTATCTTTGGAGTTGTTCGAAATAACCAATGGTAACATTAAATGCTATACCTGCTGCGTCAGAAATTTCTTGTACTTTACTTTGAGGAAAGTCTCTAACACGAATGACTTCTCTCATGTGGTCAATAGTTTCTTCATTTACTCCAGCCTGAATGCAAGCATAAACGAAACAATTGTCTTCTGTCATAAGTGCTGCAGTTCTTTTGTTCAGTTCATTGAAGATTTGGTAGCGTTCAAGATTTATAGGTAATGTGCAAAGATACTTCCAGAACTGACCGCTTCTCTTCTTATAAAACTTCTTTTCACCAAGGATTTCATTCCAGAAGTCATCTATATCTTGTTTATCTCCTGTTTGTGTTAAGTCTGTTCAATAATCTTTTCTGTCTTTCTGTCAGTGTGCTTTCATCTCTATATGGTCGCTTCTGTGGCTTTCCTTTCTTAACATCTGACATCGTTAAGCCTTCATATTCAGTTAAATCATACATCTTTATTTCAGTAAGATTCTTTATGTTTGTCAAGAAGAAGTCATAGTGCATTTCAACAATACCTGCAGCGTTTGCTTCTATCTCTGATATAAAGTTCTCCTTCAAGAGCTGATGTAGTAATGTTCCAATATTATTGAGGTTTAACGTAGAACATTCATACTTTCCACCAAGTTTATAACATACCATCCATCTTTGTTGTGAGTTTATTTTAATCTTCTCTAAGAGTCTCATGAAAACCTTACCGAAATGTTTGTGTAAGTAGTCTCTGTTTGGTTCATCTAAGCTTCGATGTTAAAGTCAATGAGTCTATTGCCTGACTTCACATTCTCTTCCTATTCTCTTCATCTTTCTTTAACCATCTCTCACCTTCTTTTGGTTTGTCGTCAATGGAACGAATGACATCGTTAGCTTTGCGAACTTGTTCTATAGCACTTTTAAACATCTCTCTTCTCTGTTGTTTCAGTGTGTCGTCTCTTCTTCTTGTTTCACCTACGTTCGCATTTGTTATGTCAAACATTTTTCTTCTTACTTCATGAGGTACTGAACGTCTATGATATAAGTCAATAGCAACGTCATTTAAAGGAAATGCTCTTGCATGGACTTCGTCCTCGCCGCGTTGCGGCTTTATGAACTCATGAATTCTATCATAACTTATTGCACCATTATAGTCTTTAATGAAGTCAGCGAGTGCTTTTTTGTTTGTTGCGTAATGTTTTGCTACTTCTATGTTAGCTTCTGTTAGAAGTTGTTTTATTTCCGAGTGTTCTAACTTAGACAACTTCCGATACATCTTTAGTAGGAAATAAAAAATTTTCTTAGAAAAAAATTAGCTTAGATTTTTTAAGGTTAGTTTTAAAATATTTCAAACTTTTTATTTTAATGAAACACATGCAAGATTGCAAGTTCTTTTCATACAATGCTCTCGCTACTGCCATCAAGAATGAGTTCAATAATGCTTCAAATGTTAATGTTATCTTTAACAAGAAGTTTGTGAAAGAATCTAAGTTTGGTCAGTATGTCAGACCATTAGCTATCGTCATTGACCGCAAACGTTATACTTCACAAGAGTTAGCAGTAGTTTTGAAACAAAAGGGTTTCTACTTAAATGTCAAAGATACTCATTATACTGTTATAAAGAACTCTAACATTGACTTCTTCAGTATTGCTTTAAATCTTTCCGAACAGAAAGAATATAAGAAGGGTGAAACAAATGTGAAATATTATCCTTCATCTCTGAAGACAATAACGAACAAAGATGTTATACAGAAATTCTTACCAAAGGTTGAAGAAGCTTCTATTGACATTGACGAAGGAAGTGAAATGGTTGAAGAAATAGACCCTGAAGCTATTTAAGCAAAAATATATTTTTGGTGAAGAGGTGAGATCTCACCCGTTTTTCACCTCATTCTCTCTTCGTTAATGTTGTCGTGACTTCTTCGTTAATGTTGTCGTGACTTCATTCTTCCTCTTTGAAGTTATCGAAATATTCTGTTATTTTTTCCTTCAGTAATGTTAACTCTTCTTTGAATGTAAGTATTGTGCAACCTTTGATGTCATAGTGTGTTTGAGGAAGAGTATTTTTGACAATTTCCTTTATTTGTTCATTCGGTGTCATTGAAATCGGTAAGTTTTCACGATAGAACCAGTTTCTGTCAGATTTATATATTTTAGCTAAGTCATAAAAGCTCTTGTTGTTTCTTCTGACTAAATGCAACATAACCATATCTTTATCTTCTTCTTTCTCCAACTCTTCAGTATATATCATATACTTATAACTCTTTTCCTTTCCTTTTGGTACTGAACGTGGTATTCTTTTCTGAATGCTTTTGTCTTTTGCTTCAATGACTTCATCTTTTGCTTGAAGTTTCTTTTCCATCTCTCCACGTTCTGCTTTATATAGTTCATCTAACATCATGAAAATATAACAAGCATAACGAGGTGAAGCCCACATTGCTACAGCATTTACTAAAAGTCTATGAACATAATAACCTTTCAAACCAGGAGCCAAATTCTTGCGATTTTCATACGGAATCTCTTCCCTCGGTTTTCCGAGGGAAGCAATCATATGAGGAAATTCTTCTAAAAGTTCTTTTGTCTGTTGGTTTTCAAACCAATGATATGCTTGCTTTGTAGAACGAAGAGCGTTCATTATACTTTGCATTTGGTACATATCGTCTTTGACCGAACGAATGAGGCGAAGTTGTTTGTTATATTGTATGTATTCGTATTCTTCATTTATAGCTTCATGGACTATAACTGTTGTTGTGTTCTCTGATGTTGTCATTACTGTCTTTACATACAAAATAAAAAAATTTGTTAGAAAAAAATTAGCGTTATTTTCTGACTTTCACAAAAGACCAAAAATAAACGCTTTACATGTATTTTTCAGCAACTTCGTCAAATAATTTTATAGCTTTATCTATCTCATCTACTTCAAACGTTTCTTTACCTTTCGTGGGAGCACCATACATTTTCTCAAAAACTTCAAGCAGTTCTGTTTCATCAGCTCTCATATCATTAACAAACACAACCTTGACTCTATTGACTGTAGAGTCATATCTTTGAGTTATATTATATGTTCTTCCTATCTTATATCTCTTTGTATTGAAGTCCTTCGATTTCTGAACGATGTAAAGTAAGCCTTCACTGCAACGTTCCGTATCGAATGAACCATAAGTTATGAAGTTATATCCAACAACTGGGTCTAACCATAACAAAACTATTGGTATAAGACTTTTGTCAATGAGATATGCTGTAGTTCCATAGAATCTTACCGATATCATAAGCTCAGGATTTCTTGTCAAAATTTTCTGAGTTGAAGCATTTCTAACCCAGTGGTTTGTTTTCTTTTCAGATGGAGATATAATGTCTGACAAAGAATATTTGTTGTATTTCTTACAGTATCTTACGTTTAAATCACCAATTCTAACCACTTTGGTGTCATTGTCTATCTTTCTAACTGTTTCAAACTCAATGTTTGACATTACTGTCTTTACATACAAGATAAAAAATTTTCTTAGAAAAATAACGCTAATTTTTTTCTAACTAATGAAATTCATGAAATTTGGTCATTTTTCAGCAAAAATAATGTTTAGGGTAGAAGGTTAGATCTACCCTCATTTCTACCCTCATTATTTATAACCGTTTTACATGGTAAACGTTATGAATTCGTGAGACTCTAAACAGTTTTGTAGCTTCTATTTCTTCTTTTAGTACATCGAATGTTTTAACAATGCCGAAAGTTTCTTTATACTTCTTCTTGACGTCAGATAGAAGGAAATCTTCTGCTGTTGGATAGTTTTTGTTCAGAAATTCTAACATGTCCATTTTATTTTCTGCTGGTTTTTCTGCTTCTTTCTTTAAGTCTGCATAGTCGTTTCGCATTCTTTCTATCTCTTTGACGGAGTAGTTATATTTCCTCATTGCTGCCTTACATTTTGAACATTGCGGCATCGTTTTTGCGTTATACATTGAAATAAAACCAGCTAGAACAACTAAGGCGTCAATGGTTTTCTTTAAATCTGAAGCAGTTGGTTTTATCTGTTCATTCCATACCTTACCTCTTCTATCTTTATCTCTTATCTGCCATACACATTTTGCAACTAATGAAACAAAGTTGTCGTATGTCTTAAACTCCCCAGATTTATATATGTCAGATGTTCTTATATACCATGTCGCAATCTTTGTCCATAACTTTATGGTTGCAATGATATCCTAGAAACTCATAGTTTACTTTACGTATGAACTTCTTTATTTCTACTGAGTCAGTTGGTTTCACTTCAATTTCATCGAATTCAGGAATAGTGAGCTTTTGCTGCTGAATTTCAGGCAATTTGGGTAAATGGTCAATAATGTCCTGCATTTCATAAAGATACTGTTCATTTTCTTCATTCTGTGCGGTACAGTCTAAATTACTTGTTAAAAGTTCTTGCTTTATTCTTTGTATTTCTGTTACAAAACTATATGAAGAAGGAATAAAGCTTTTCATCTCTACCAACATTGACGTAGGATTCATGACTAACGAGTTTGGTGAAGTTGTTTGAATTGTTGTTGTGCCGATTGTTGAAATCATATCTTTTATACAAAATAAAAATTTTTCTTAGAAAAAAATTAGCGTTATTTTTTCTATCTTAAGGAAATTCATGAAAATTCATGAGGTTAGAAATGAGGGTAGAAATGAGGGTAGATCTAACCTTCTACCCTAAACATTATTTTTGGTGTAAATTTATGACAAAAATAAATGGTACCATTAATGATATCATGACTGTTCTCATTCATGTCTGATTTACATCTAATGAAAAAGTTTAGAAGAATTTTCTTATTCTTTCTGGCTTATTTTTGTCTTTCCAGTACTCCCGCTCTAATGGTCCCAGATGTGTTGACTTTGACTCTCTCAAGTTCTTAGATGGTATAACATCTTCAACGCCTCCTTCATATCTTACTTTATAAGTGTCATCGTTTATGTTATAGCCAAGTATTTCAATAACCACTCCTCGCTTTGCTTCGTCAATGGTTTCAGCAAGTTTGCCATTACTACTTTCAACTAATTTATGACGAGGGTAAAATGCTATGGAGTCGTCAGCAGCTTTTATAAGATATCCATTACCTTGCGTAGAGTCTACTATATAATAATTTCGACTTAACCTTAAACGTTTCCTTGTCAACGGCTTGTCGTCAAGAACTACACGAACTTTTGTACCAGGAATGAGGGTAAATTGTGTTGAATTTCTGATATTTTGTGTTTGACTTCGTTTCTTTTGTATATACTTTTCTTCTTGTTGTTGTGTCATTGAATTTGGTGTATGTCCTGTTGTAGAATGTGTTGAGGAATTATATACTTCGAGAAAATGTTTCATTGTTTCTTCGGTAAAGTCTCGCTCTTGATTTAAATCTCTGAGAGTCCTTATGAAGCGGTTTATGATGCCGAGTATGTTATGGTTATGGTCTTCAGTAGTGTAGTGAGTTATGTTATGCTTAATGAGAAATTCTGTGATTTCGTTGCTGAGGTAAGCACTGTCTTGGTCTGATGTTAAAGTACTTGGGCTATGTTCTGCTACAAACTTTTGTAAAACTCTTAAAACTTCATGAGTTCCTTTATTCCTCATTGGATATGCATATGCTTTACGAGTGTTAACATTAATGAAGATGAGGAATGGTTTATGTCCTCCTTTTCTGCTTTGAATGAGAGTGTCAAATTGGTATGCGTCAGGAGTGTTGGAGTAAATTGGTAAAAAGTAGTCGTAAGGGTTTATTTTTGTTTGATGTACAACATTTTTGTCAAAGAACCTTTTCACTTCAGCTCTGTTAGTAAATCCCCAACTCTTTGCAGCTTCATTGAACTTCTTAAATGACCTCCATGGATGTTGTTCGAATACTTCTTTCAAGCTCATTTATGTAAAGTTAAAGATTTTATTCAAGGCTCAAGCGTGTTCATTGAACTCTATACCATGCGAATATAGTCACAAATGGTGGCATATAATCTTCACCCGAGCCTGTTGGATTTGTTGTGAAAGTATGGACATGATTTCCTCCTGGTTCAGTTGGTCGAAAAATCTTTTTTGCTGCATTGTTATAAGATGGAGATAAAACGTCATTGCCAGCTTCATACTCTGAGTTGTATAATGGGTGGTCTCTTAATGAGTGGCTATGGTCGCCAGAAAAGTTTGTCGTTCCTGTATGAGTGTGCGCAGGTAAGTTTGCTTCTTTAATTTTCTTCGAACCTCCTGTTTGCTTTGAAGAGTTAGCACAGTATAAGAATTTGTCTACAATCTGCTGCCATGTACCAAAACCTAAAACACTTGCTGGATTTGTTGAGTTCATTGACGTATAAATAGAGCCTATAGGATATATGGTTTCAAGAATCTGAGCCTTCATTGTTTGAAGTTCATGTTTAACATTTATAAATCCATCGCCATCTACAATATTTATATTGTTTGTTATTAAACCATTAGGAAAAGTCGGAGGATAAATTCTTTGTTCATGTACAGTTGCACCGTTTCTTCCTGTTTTTGTTACTATTTCGATGCATGCCTTAATTTCTTTAATCCTGATTGTTTGAAATTCTTCATGCACGTGCTCTTTATCAGCTTTTCCATTAACCGAAGCATTTACTTCCGACTTCTTTGCATAATTTTCATCTACATAAGTTTTGTCAGCTTTCTTATCTAACATTGCTGGTAGTTCATATGCTTCAAAGTTTCTGGCATGATCTTCGATATTCCTGCAACTGTTATCTAAATTGTTTAGTGTATCTTTTACGCTTGTACTCGGATTCTCTAAAGGTGCACTTGAACCAAGGGTATAGTTCAATATTACATCGTCTGCTCTAACAGTAGTGAAGGATTCGTTTGTATGGTTCTTGTCGGCTTTACTGTCTAATGTAGCTTGAAGTTCATTTATATCGGAGATGTTGTGTTTATGAGATTTCAAAACTTTGTTCATTGCTTCGAGTTCAACTTTGTCAGCTTTACTTTTAATAGCATCTTCAAACGTTATTTTTGCCTTAACTCTCAACGTAAATCTTGGTTCAACTAATACACCGTTAACATTGAAAGTAGAGGCATAAATTTCACCGGTATAACCAAATGCTTCTGGTGCTTTAGCTATATCATACTGTACAGTACAGCTTATGTCATAACCTTTAGCACGAATGTATTTATATCTTCTTTCATTAACATTTTTTGTCTTCGCTTCATCACTTCGTGTTAAATATCCATGGTAGTCCGTTATAATCTGTTCGTCTGAAGTTATATAATGAACGTGGTTCTTGACTTTATCACTCAGAGCTAAAAGCTCATTTTTGTCTGCTTTTTCGACTAATTTCTCATTAACATCATTCACTTCTAATTCAACTCTTCCGCCAGAACTCTTATTATCATTAATCTTTTTCATTAATTCGGTAATTACGTCATAAAGACTATATTCTGTTTTCGGTTCTGTAAATAATGAGTCAAAATTTCTTTTCATCATTACATCGCTGACATTAATGATATCAGCTATACCTTTTTCATTTATTCTCTTCATTAATTCTGCAATAATGACGAATATATAATCTGTTAATTTATTCTCTTCATCGAGGGTTATAGAATGTTTTGAAATTGAATCATTAACTCCTCTAAATAAATCAATAACTTCAGGATACACGTTTTTAATGTCTCGAATAACCCGACCAGTATCCTGTTGTTCATGTTCTTCGTTCCTGTCGTTACGTGGTTTATATCTCTAACCATCATCAACGCAGCCATAACCGGAGGGTTTGTTGCTACCTGTTCGAAAATCCGTCCGTTATGTACGGTATATCTAAATAATTTCTTTGTGTTTGTTAAAACATTTGAAACAAGTCTTTTAAAACCATCTACAAAATTTCCTGTTTCACCTAATGTTCTTGCAGCATTTACAAGCTCACCCATTCCCGCTTTTGACCCCAAAAACGTCCATATTGCATTTATTTCACTCTGTATAGTTGTCCATTCAGCGAAACTAATACCTGCATTCGCTAAGCTGAAAATGAAATTCAGTGGATCGAACTTAATTCCACCTTCTTTTTCAATTTCAACGAACTCACTAACATGAGATTTTAAGTATTCTTTCGTTAAAATTGTTTTCCCCGATGTTATGTCATTAACGAAACTATCACCGTCAAAAGTTAACGAATTCAATTTCGTCGTTGATGCTTTTATTTCATACACCGCTTTATCGATAGTTTTTGGCTCACCTTCTTTAGAAGCATATGAAACATTAATGAATGAATTATATGTATTCGTGAATGAGTTAAAATCAATGATTTCATTAATGACGCCTTTAAATGATTCATTTACTGTTGAATCCCTTAAAGCAAATTAATGAACTGTCATTTATGAAAGGTACACTGCAAACGTCGAGTTTGGAATCAAATGCTGTAGTTGGTGCAGGAATATTAATGATATAAGTCATTAAATCATTAAGTGACGTAAATAATGTTGTCGTTTTTGATTTAATTCTTTAGCATCTGTTATATAACGGTAATTTTATTTCTGTAGTTTCTGAATTAAAGATATTCGCTAAAATGTTTTGTAAACTGTTTTTGAACAGCTGTGTAAAACCGTTGAATCCGGAACTCTTACGATTTCACCGTCCTTAATAAAAGGCATTGCACATGGTGTAGTGCTTGGGTCAAATCTTTTTGGGTTATGATTCAACATATATTCTAACGCTTCATGAACAGACTTATATACTGTTGTGTCATTCTCTCATGACAACTTCACCATTTACAATGAATGGCATAGTACATGGAGTTAAAATAGGGTCAAACTTTTCATAGTCCTTCCATGTTATGTATTTCTCAGTATTTCCATCAGTGATAACAATATATTTGTCAGTAAGTGTGAGAGAGTATTGACCAAAATATAAACGTTTAGCTCTGTCAGCTTCATACGCATATGCAGCTATACTCATATTTTAATGAGAATAAAATGTTGTTCTATTTGCAAAGTACAGACCCAAACGAATACGGGACAGTAAAGCTACAAACAAACTTAGGTCTACAGAATGAGGCGCTTGCATTCAGAATGGTTGACTTCAATACTATCGCTTCATTCGTTATAACAGATGAAGCAGATTTCATGGAGATTGAAATAGATGGAAAGAAGCACGAAATAAGATTTCACAATAATGTAGAATATAAGATGGAAACATTAGCTGGAGTGTTAAATGCTCTCATAAATACTACAATAAACAAGGATAACGAAGAAAACTTAATGAATGTTAAACTTATTGCAGGAGTTTTGAAGTTCAGTTATGCGAAGGAGTTTAAGATAACACGAATGAGTCATAGAGTACAACTTTTTGGGTGCATACCATATGACATTTCCTTGAAAAGTGTTGACAAAACGATTGAGATGAAATCTGTTCCATACGTATGTTATGGTAATTGTTTGTACATTGAGTCTAAAATAGCTAATGTCACAGGCATTTCAGGAGTTAATAGTAAAGGTTCAGTAGAATATAAATCCTTCTGTTATGAAGTAAATTCAATGTTCATTCCAAACGTTCCTGTCATAGCAACTCATTTAGGTAAATGGGTTCGCATTAGTCCTCATAATTTGAAAGACATGCAATTCAGACTTGTTGACTTTCAAGGAGAGCCTGTAGAACTGAAGGCACCAGTGCGAATGACTGTTGAAGTTGACTTTTTAGAAAATATTAAATGCAACAGCTTACAAGAGAACTCAGAGCTAAAAATATAAAGTATGAATGTTATGTATTAGGTCATGAACTTTGGTTGTTGCTGTTTGATGAAACAAATGAGTTAGTTATGTCAGTCAAGAGAACAGAAAAATATTGTGTTAGTGAAAACTGCACCAAGTCAATAAGATTAGGTTTGCATTATGAAGATGAGTTCGATACTGTTGAAGAAGTTTTGGATAGATATTACAAATTGCTAACTTGAAATTTTTGACTGACGGTGCAAAGCGCCAAGATGGGCTCAAAGAGCCCTCCTGACTGCTTTAATTTACTAAAACATATTTCAAACAAAGTTTATATTCTGTTGAAAGTTTTGTATACTCGTTCGAATATTTATACTTAAACTCAACTCCTGTAGTTCCTGGTGTTTCAATGATGCGGATGTTACCTATTTTCATGAATAGTGGAGTTTGACCACAGCATTCGATTTCAGGGTCGAGATAGTCAATGACACATTGTTTCCCTGTTATTCGTGATATAACATTTTCAAGGTCCTCCTTTGTTAGAATTATTTGGTTCTTGCTTATAAGATTTACCAAAAGCTTCTTATCGTCTTTGAGTAAGATAGTTTGGTATAACTGAAGAAGGTAATGGTCTACGTTGCCTGAAGGATTTGTTTGAACATTTGTGTAAGGATTGTCGTTGGCTTCTCTTGAAAAAATTTGGTCCAGCGGTGGATACTCTAACTTAACATCTGATGTAGCGTTAGCGTTTGAAGCTGAGTTTAAATTCACGGCGTCATGCGCCAAGACCGAAGGTCCCGACTTAAGTTCTGGTTCTTTTTCTTTCAAACACTCTGAACTATAGTTCTTTATGACAATATTGTTTGTCGTTCGTGAGTCAACATTTGATGTTGGTTCAATTGGAACATTAACGGCACCAGCTAAGATGGATTTGCTTCTCATTTCATATAGAATAAAAACCTTTTATATGTATGAAATGAACAATATACTCGACAAGGGTTTTAATGTAAAGCTAACGAATGAAAATATTGTTGAATTCACTGAGACAGGTGCTGTGTATAAAGATGTAGAACTACTGAACAAAAGAGCTAAGGGAAGAAGCAGGAACATGAACAAAGGGTGGAAGCCTATAAAAATTTATGTCAATGATGGCTCAGGAGGTTCAAACATAAAGTATGCAGAAAGTTATAGAGTTTATGCTCTCAAAGGTGAAAAGCCTTCATTTAAGAACAGCTATTCTAACGCGTATCCTCAAAAGCTAACGGATGGGGAAGTGGATGATATGAATGACAGCAAAAATATTAACAGAAATGGCGACAGAGATGCATGGAATTTGTTTACCATCAGTCAATTGAAGATTAAACTTTAAAACAATGTTGGTCGTTCCCATGGAATATTTTTGACTTTAATGGTATTAGTCATGATATGAATCTCAAGGTATGAACGAGGAGAGATGAGAGACTTATATGCTTCCCAAATTTCTTCAAAAGGTAATGTTATACCTGACTGTTTCCAAATGAGTTCAATATCATAACGTGAGAAACCTTGAAAGATAACGAAGTCAGTTATGAGACGTTTTATGTTTAAAGCTAAAAACCTCCATGTTTGCATAAGTATTGCTACAGTTAAATGGTAATGTCTGACTTTAGTAATGATGTTAGCTAATGGTGAGTCATGCTTTGAAACTAAACCTTTTCCGGCGAAGTCGTCACAAACTAATAAAGTGTTTGATGGATATTTTTTGAAGGGGTATTTTGAAAGTTTTGATAGAATGTAGTTTGTAAGTCGTTTCATATCGTAAACTCCTGAGTATTGACGTAAGTGGTGTTTGTCAATAATTCTTTCCATCTCTTCTGAAGTCTTTTGCATTCCTGACTGTATAAATTCAACGATGGCATAATATTTCCTCTTACGTCGAATGTAACGTTGAAGAAATTCAATGAGTTCACTGTCTGGAACTTTAACGACAGAGGCTTGAACTTTTGACATAAATGTTTTCGCTGTTGAGTCCATAGAGTCTGAAGTTGCTGATATAATGATTTGGTCATAGTAAGAGTCGTTTCCTAAACGTTCTGTTATGAGTATATGACGAATGAGGTTAAATGTCTTACCTGACCCCATCTTTCCACAATAGAAATACACACCATTTGAACAGAACTCATAATCTTTGCTGAAAGGAAGAATGAGAGAAGAGTTAAGTTTGTCTGTAGTTTCATTCATGTCTTCATCTACGTCATGTATTAAATGCTTCATTTTATCTCCATTAAAAATGCAAGTCAGAAATATTCAGAACATAGCACCGAGTCTAACTGACAAGAGTATAAAGATATACTATGAACACGTTATGATGAAACCTACCAAAATTCAAGAAAGTCAGTATACTTATGAATATCCAAGACACTGGGTAGAGTATATAGGAGGTGAGAAAGCTATTGAAATCAGACAAGTTAGAAGTATTCCAGCAGGAAGAACAATATTATTGAAGAACTTTAATGTTTTGAGGTATAATGATGAAACAAAGAAGCAAGATAGTTTCCCTGTTGCTGTGTATGTGAACTTAGATACAGGAGATGACATGAAAGTTTTTAATACAAAGCTTCAAACGGTAGTGAGAGAACAACTTACTGCGGAAGGACATCCATTGCCTTCAGAAGTTACCATAGCATATAATTTTGAAACAAACTCAATAGATTTTAAAGTCATCTCTGCAAAGAAGTCAGGTTTTACATTTAATGAAGCAGATGTATATTCGAATGAAAACTTCAAAGCTATTGCATGGTTAGATAATGACGATTGCTTTAAGAAAATATTTAAATACAGTGACTCAACGATATCAATAGATGACCTTCGTGGAATGTTACCATCGACGTTTACAGTAGAAGGTTCAGCAGGATTGCTTACAAGATTGTCAATTGGTGGTATTTGGTCTCGTGAGAACATTGTTATAAAATCCAGTATAAGTGAATTTGCTGAAGAATCTATATTATGTCTTTCAAACTACATGTATTCGCCGCCGAAGCATTATAGTATAACAAACTTTGTCAGTAAGTTTAACATAAGACTTGTCGAACCTTCTTCAATGAAAGATGTTGTGCTACCTAAAGATGGAAAGGATGGACTCATTATTGAGATGATTTTAATAGCATATTAAATGAGCTTGTTCTTGAAGGTCATTCATGATGAAATAACTGTTGTAGAAGATGTTAGCAATTGTTCAGACATTTTGAAGCGTATAGATGATATAAGAAAGAAGTTAGATAGACCGCAAAGCGGTGAGGGCGAAGCCCGTGAGAATGTTTATGTTTCATTGACTTTCTCCAGTAACGAGAACTTTTATGAGATAATATTGAAGAGAGATGATTTTAATATGGTGTAAATGGTAGCTTGGGCAGCTTTAGGCGCAATGGGAACAAAAGCATTAGCATTTGGAGCAAAAGCACTTGGAGCTTATGACGCAGTAAATAAAATGAGTGGAGGAAGGGTTTCGAAGACATTAGATGCAAATAAAGGGAAGATTGGAGGCTGGGTTGCAAAGAAGTTAAGATTAAATAAAATAGGGCTCATAAATAAAGCATCCAATTTGGTTGCGACTGAGTCAGAAAATGCTTTAGGAAAGGACGATGAGTTTGCAAAACACGCAAAAGACTTTAATGACCAGATGAAAGGTGAAACAATGCATTTAAATAGAGTCGATGGAACTAAAGAAAATGTTTCTTCTCCACCAGTAGTTCTTCCGTATGGTCCCTATGGAATGTATGGAAACCCTTACGAAAGACCATTTGACCCATTGACTGGTGGAAGTAACTGGTATCATTACGGACGAAGAAGAAAGACAGTCAAGTTGGAGACAGATGTTAAGAAAGCAACTAAAAAGAAACCAAGAAAGAGAGTTATAAAGCAATGAATTCAACAGGGTAGAAATGAGGGTAGATCTAACCTTCTACCCTAAGTTTATTTTTGCGCTATGTTTTCATACGTGTGAAGTCGTTAGTGAAGTCGTTAGTGAGAACGTTAGTGAGAACGTTAGTGAGAACGTTAGTGAAGTCGTTTATTTTTTCATGCACGTGCATTGTGTCGCGGGGAGTTGCCATGGGCAATGACCTGCGCACAATATATAACGTACAGAGAGGTGAGATGAGGTGGTTTATGTGATAAATACTTTACGTGGCAGAAATAGTTTAAGGTTATTAGAAATATTGCATCTGCGATGTAAAATATACGTTAGTGGTTTTGTAAAGTGTCAGATTGACATAACTTTGGTAAGATGGTGCGCAGTGCCACCATACCGAAGATATGTATACTAACTAAAGTAACTAATTTTAGCTGTCAAATACTTTTGTATTTTGAAGTAAATTAGTATAAATTTGATATTATTTTAACTCCCTTTGAAAACCTCAATTTTCCATACAGAGGGAACGGGAATAGCATCCAATATTCCCTGAGAATGGTTGCGCATTCTCAGTTCCCTCTATATTTCGAACGAAGCTCTCATCGGTCTTTTTTTTAATACTAAACGTTTTTTTCCCCTGTCACTTTTAGCTAAAATTTGGGTTTGCCATGTTGAAACCCAGAATCGTGATATCTCTGATTTTGATATATCTTCATTATTTATGGGATTTCTTGTTTCGAAAAACGGTTATGGAAAAATTTCAATATTATCCTATTTATTTTGTCATTAAATCAAATCGATTATTCAAATAACCTATGAACTCATCAAATGAATACTAATTTCCATTAACAAATCAATGTTTCCATAATTCGATTTCGTTGAATTAGTAAACAAAAATGTGAACCTAATGGAAATGGCAAAACCTCATATACGTTATTACAATTCATCTCGAGATCATCATTATATTCATCCTAATTCAGTTGGATATGAAATATATGTTCATTTTAAGCGGTCATTATAGTAATTTATCATAATTAAACAGTATAAATAAAATTTAAATATTAATATTGTTTTTCAGGCATGGTTCACCTGTATTCTATGACCTCATCTCAATTCAAATCAAAGTGGCTTGAGGTATTCTTTACATTCAATGCTTGATATCATGAAAATTGATTAAGGATGTCAATTTGGAAGAAAAGTGAGAAAATTCCTAAAATGCTAAAAATGAATTTTCCAAACGTACTTTTTTATCTCATTTTTTTGATTTTGAAAAAAATTTGGAGAGAAGAACTCTTCGTTTTTGAATTTTGTCACGATGGTTTTAAAGTATATTAGACACATGTATTGATATTACTATTTTTGTATATTTTGAGAGAAAATCCCTAAAAAGTGAGAAAATCTGAGACGGTTTGAGAAAATATATAAACTATTGAAAATTTGAATTAAACTTCTAATTTGGAAAAAAGAAATTTGGAAAGAAGAAAATTCAAAAATCGAGATTTAGACTCAGTATCAAATGGAGAACAAAATGTTTCTTCATACGAAGGAAAAAATTTTCTTGAGAAGAAATAGAGTTTTTAAAATTTTATTGTATGTAATGAAATAAACAAATATTAAAATTATTTTTTGATAACAAGAAAATTCCCAACAGAAAATATTTGAGACAAAGAAAAAAAGAAAATTGAAAAATATTACTCTCCTTTACATTTCATGAGATTTTCAATTTATTTTCATAAAATTGACAATTTTATACGTTTAGATGAAAATAAGTGATTTTGCTTGAAATAAAAATTATTGTTTGTTTACAGCTATCAAATAGATTTTTGCTATTTTGATTAAAATTTGTTAATCAAATTAATAATTTTTTTTCTAAATATCTTAAATATCTGTATCACTCACTGATACGATGAATTAAACGATAAAAATAATACAAACTCAACTAAGTTTCCTGTCTTTCAACCAAAAAATATTATGCAATTTAAATTAAATTGTTTATTCAAAGATAAAACAAAGATAAAGTAATTATAATTATCATATACTTTATGAATAACTCTGTAATTGGTTCAGATTTTCGTAAAAATATTTTTATTAATATCGATAAGAATATGTTTACCTACTATCACCATATGTCGATAAACGAGAGTAGAGTGATTTTTATCATCGAAACTTTTTAAAAGCTGTAAGCAGGAAGTAATAATCTTGTTTTTTCTGAGTTAGTTGTAGAACTATTGATGCCCGAGTTATCATTGTGATGTAGAAGGATGTCAATGTACTGACTGAAGGATATGAATTGAATTGAATTTTATTGAATTTCAATTTGATCAAAATTTGTTGAAATGATATGAATGTGTCAACATCTGTATCACTCTCTTTCACTCCTTCCTTATTCTTTCGAGAACGAAGCTAGCTCAGCTTTCGCTGAGTGAATTGACACTTTTCATGCCCTAAACGTACATACTCTCAAATTTATCGAAAAAATTAATACCACCTAAACTAGTATATTCTTATTTTAAATATGATATTATCCTTATATTCCACACTAAAATTCATTTAAATCAACTTTTTAAAAAAGTTCGAATCCTGCGCGTCTCACTTTTTAAATTTTCCAAATGGAAAATTATATTCTCCTAGAGTGAAAACAATTTTCCAAATTGACTTCCTTAAATCGATTACTTGTTTTCCCAGCATGTTTACATATTCAGAATTAATCATGCAAAATCTATAGCAAAGATTTCAATATATCCATATATATATGCATTTAGAAAAGCAAAGTGAGGGTGTAAAAATTAGATCTTAGCAAAGATTTCAAGATATACATATATGATTTAAAACAAAAGTATAATTTTTTTCGATATAGTTATTGCAATTTTACATTTCATGACTAATATATTAGTAGCAGGCCTAAAAACTATATAGGCTGAATTTTTTAAATTTGATCTGATTAGTAGTGTGTAATAACAGCAATTGTATGGAATGATGATGCAAAATAATTAATATTTTCGTTGCGAAGCAATAATTTTTTTTCTTGAGAAGTATGAAGAATTTTCAATATTAAATTGAATCTAAACATTATCAAAATTCTGAATATTATTGGGAAATCCCCATATTGGATAATAAATTAGACTATCCTTTGCTGATTAATGAGATTGACCGATTAAACGCTATCTCTCAATTTTATTGAAATCAATTTAATTCAACCTTTCATAGTCTCTCAAAAATTCGTATTGAAATTGTCTAGATATGATCATAAAAATGTTTGCTTTTCAATTCATTCGAAATGATAGATTCAGATGTAATTCAATATGAATTAGTAACTATTTCTAGAATTTTGTTAAGGAGTTGTTGCTATTCAGACTGGTATTGGAATTAAAAATATATGATAACAACTTTGTGTAACATGTTTTATAGATAATATGAGTGGTTTTAGGACAATGTAATAATTGGGCAATCATCTTAGCAACTATTATTAAAAAGAAATCACGATTCAAATCTTCTAAATTTGGAATACCTACTATGTTTAATTAATCAGCTAGCTATCTACAAATTAAAAATATCACCATCAAAAATTATCACATTACTATGATTGTGTCTTCACGATAGAAGAAATCGCGAAATAATGATTGTATTTGTGGTTAAATTATGAGAAATATATAATTATGAATTGTGTGTGCAATGTATAAATCTTCCAAAGTCTCATATATTCAAAATTATTTGTTGGATGTCAAACTTTTATTGATGATGGAGCATAATGCGCAGAACATCTTTTCTCTCAAACTTGATCTTGCTATAGTCGAAAGTTTATTGACTGTGGGGTTATTTTGTTTTCATCTTACGAGATTTTTGTCATCCTTCTATCATCATTAAACATTCAAATCTCCCAAGAGGAGAAAAAAAATATTTTCTTTTATGAAATTTTTTAGTAAAGGTTAGTAAAATGAGATCCAATATTAAATATCATTAATAATATTAGCTGTTTCTTATTATGTTAGTGACGTTTGTAATATATTTAATAAATTGTTTGCAGATTGAACTAAATTGACTCCGAAATGTTGACTTATAAATTATTATAATGCTTTTTAATCACGCTTATATCTTAAATGAATGAGCGATTTAGTTTTGCACAAAAAAATATAATACGGTAAACATTGAATTTTTCAAACCGTTTTTTCCCTATGAAAATTCATTCATAACCTGTTCCATTGAAAGATATATTTTTTTAAAAATTTCAATGAAAAATATTTTAGAAGACAATATAATGAAGTATTTTATTCTACGTTTTGAATGATCATTCAAAATTGAATGCAATAAAACATCCTATTCTAAGGATATTCAATATTATAAAATTTTAGATGCAATAGTTTATATCAATTACAATTATTAAATGAAATGCTACAAAATATATATTTTTCAATGTGATCCATTTTATATTTAATTTTTTAAATAGCTATTGAAATCATAAAATGATATTGTCTCTACTCCTTGTTGCTCAGTTAGATGTGCATACATGCAATCATGATCTTGAAATGGGTAACATAACAAGAGAACTTCAAGGACCCAGTTCATATCGCAATCTCAAAAGCACTGAATGGAAAAGCATCAGAATAAAGGTGGATTATAACTATATTGACAGAACAAAAGATGATGCGCGAACATGTACATGGGTTGGACAAATCGTAACATTCCAAGGCGTAAGATACACTTGTAAGAGGGAGCATATTTTGACATATTCAAAAATTTTGGCTATTAAAGGAACACTTAATAATGTCAAATCATATTTAGAGAGACTTCTTACAGTAATTCCATTCAATTATAATATTAATTATGTGGACTTTCGTAGCCGTTATGGATACGAGACGAATTTTGGCAAACAAAGTGCATATGGTGCCGATATAGTACTTGCAGTACTTTCAAGACCGAGACAAGATGATGATGCTACTCTCGCATCAGCAGCCGGATTATCAGAAGAGAGAGTATATCACAGACCAGTATTTGGTGTCGTTTTCTTAAATCCAATGGCAGTTCCTGATACAGCACAAGATGAAAACTCAAAGGATTCAAGATTCTTTTATACTTGCGTTCACGAAACTATTAGAAAGAAAGAAGAGTAAAATACAAACATGTATTAATATATTGTGTATGAAATTATGATTCTGCAACTTTCATTGCACATCCAATTGATCCAACGAATTGATGATTTTCTGGTATTACAATAGATAAATCTGGATCGAAAAGTGTAACTGCACGCTCAAGTGCTTCAGGAATATGTCCTTTTGTAGAGAGAAATCCTCCTACAAAGACAAGAGTTTTGACTTTTTCAGCTCTTGCGATAGCTGCAGCTTGTCCGGCAATAGCATAGCATATTGTGCAAACTAATGATGCAGCAATGTCTTCTTTCGAAGCAGGATTATTATGGTTCATCGAAGCTTTTGCAAATGAAGAAGCGCAAACATTAGATTTGAGTGTACTGCCGTAGTTTTGGCCGTAGATATCCGATATAAGTAAGTCTAATGTATTAGGATCTCCATTTGCTGCAAGGCCAAGTAGTTCATCAAAATCATTCATTCCTAGCAATAGATTTGCAAGACCCATCAATGTTCCTCCACCTAAGGAAGATCCACCGGCATGTTTAACTGGTTTATCTGTCTCTGAAACAGTAAATGAAACTCCGGTTCCCAAAGAAATCAAAAGGCATGGTTCGTTGATAATTTTATTGCCTCCAAAGAAATGGAGAAGATTTTCTTCTTTGAGTAATTTTAAGGCTCCGTAAGTCTGAATCGTTAATTCGTCAAGATAAACAGGTTTTGGATTGATTTTTTCGAAAAATTCTTTGCATCGAACTGATCCACATCCTGTTATACCCCAGCGAACTATTTTCTTGTTAATTTTAGGTACATATAAATTATTTTGTTCATCAACTCTGAAGAAATCTTCTAATTCTTCCATCTTCGTGGGTACTAAAAAGAATTTTCGCTCTCCATTTTCGCCTACATAGCAGATCTTGGTAACTGTGCCACCTAAATCAACTCCGAGCATTTTTTGAATGTCTTTTTCAAAAAGCCATTCAAAAACATTTTTTTTATCAGAAATCTTCTGAAAAAAATTTTGCTTGACCATGCAAACTCCGGTTCTAATTTACGATCAAAATAAATGTTTACCACACATTAGACTTATTCATTGTTGGTTTATCTTTGTTGGCCGCACCTTATTGATTTTTTTTGCATTTCTCCATCCAAAATTTACAAAAAAGAGATTGGGACAAAGTTGCAATTCGGCACTTTTTGTAAAAAAAATGGGGTCATACTCATAATGAATAGAGACTTATAGCCAAGTCTTGATATCATGCAGGGAGAATATACATTGATAAGCAATTATATTTTATAGTAGTAGTATTCAGAAATTCTTACAATTTACAATACAATTTTCAAAAATGGATAAAGACTAAAGTTAGTATGGGTTAGTTGGGTACTGTGGCACTGCGCACCTACTTACCCATTATATGTGATTTTGACACTTTACGAAACCGTTAACGTATATTTTACAACACAAACGACAACACTAACTTAACCTTAAATATTTACAAAACCGCCAACCATTTCACCTCACTAACGAACTCACTAATGAAAAAATAAACGTTCTCATAAATTTTCTTCTATATCTTCATCGTCAATGTTAACTCTATTGTAGTCATACTTGAAGTCATAAAGTTTCTCAAGTTTTGAAATGCATAGTCTTGTTAACTTACCTTCATCATCATAAGTTTTTATAAAACTACCATGACAATCTTTATACACAGTCAATGTATAATCTACTGGTCTAGGATGAAGTGTAAAGAACATGTTATACTCAGGAAGGAAGAATAAATGTTTAAATGTATGTTTGTTATATTTTTCGATTTGTATGAGTTGCTTTTGTTCTGTCATTTATATAAAAATAAAATAAAAAATAAACTTAAAAATTAATGATATCACCACCCTCACACGTATGAAAACATAGCACAAAAATAAATTTAGGTGAAGTGGTGAGATCTCACCTCTTTTTTCACCCGGTTTTTCACCCTGTTGAATTCATTGCTTTATAACTCTCTTCCTTGGTTTCTTTTTAGTTGCTTTCTTCACGTCTGTCTCCAACTTGACTGTCTTTCTTCTTCGTCCGTAATGATACCAGTTACTTCCACCAGTCAATGGGTCAAATGGTCTTTCGTAAGGGTTTCCATACATTCCATAGGGACAATACGGAAGAACTACTGGTGGAGAAGAAACATTTTCTTTAGTTCCATCGAATCTATTTAAATGCATTGTTTCACCTTTCATCTGGTCATTAAAGTCTTTTGCGTGTTTTGCAAACTCATCGTCCTTTCCTAAAGCATTTTCTGACTCAGTCGCAACCAAATTGGATGCTTTATTTATGAGCCCTATTTTATTTAATCTTAACTTCTTTGCAACCCAGCCTCCAATCTTCCTTTATTTGCATCTAATGTCTTCGAAACCCTTCCTCCACTCATTTTATTTACTGCGTCATAAGCTCCAAGTGCTTTTGCTCCAAATGCTAATGCTTTTGTTCCCATTGCGCCTAAAGCTGCCCAAGCTACCATTTACACCATATTAAAATCATCTCTCTTCAATATTATCTCATAAAAGTTCTCGTTACTGGAGAAAGTCAATGAAACATAAACGTTCTCACGGGCTTCGCCCTCACCGCTTTGCGGTCTATCTAACTTCTTTCTTATATCATCTATACGCTTCAAAATGTCTGAACAATTGCTAACATCTTCTACAACAGTTATTTCATCATGAATGACCTTCAAGAACAAGCTCATTTAATATGCTATTAAAATCATCTCAATAATGAGTCCATCCTTTCCATCTTTAGGTAGCACAACATCTTTCATTGAAGAAGGTTCGACAAGTCTTATGTTAAACTTACTGACAAAGTTTGTTATACTATAATGCTTCGGCGGCGAATACATGTAGTTTGAAAGACATAATATAGATTCTTCAGCAAATTCACTTATACTGGATTTTATAACAATGTTCTCACGAGACCAAATACCACCAATTGACAATCTTGTAAGCAATCCTGCTGAACCTTCTACTGTAAACGTCGATGGTAACATTCCACGAAGGTCATCTATTGACATCGTTGAGTCACTGTATTTAAATATTTTCTTAAAGCAATCGTCATTATCTAACCATGCAATAGCTTTGAAGTTTTCATTCGAATATACATCTGCTTCATTAAATGTAAAACCTGACTTCTTTGCAGAGATGACTTTAAAATCTATTGAGTTTGTTTCAAAATTATATGCTATGGTAACTTCTGAAGGTAATGGATGTCCTTCCGCAGTCAGTTGTTCTCTCACTACCGTTTGAAGCTTTGTATTAAAAACTTTCATGTCATCTCCTGTGTCTAAGTTCACATACACAGCAACAGGAAAACTATCTTGCTTCTTTGTTTCATCATTATACTCAAAACATTAAAGTTCTTCAATAATATTGTTCTTCCTGCTGGAATACTTCGAACCTGTCTGATTTCAATAGCTTTCTCACCTCCTACATACTCTACCCAGTGTCTTGGATATTCATAAGTATACTGACTTTCTTGAATTTTGGTAGGTTTCATCATAACGTGTTCATAGTATATCTTTATACTCTTGTCAGTTAGACTCGGTGCTATGTTCTGAATATTTCTGACTTGCATTTTTAATGGAGATAAAATGAAGCATTTAATACATGACGTAGATGAAGACATGAATGAAACTACAGACAAACTTAACTCTTCTCTCATTCTTCCTTTCAGTAAGGACTATGAGTTCTGTTCAAATGGTGTTTATTTCTATTGTGGAAAGATGGGTTCAGGTAAGACATTTAACCTCATTCGTCATATACTCATAACAGAACGTTTAGGAAATGACTCATATTATGACCAAATCATTATATCAGCAACTTCAGACTCTATGGACTCAACAGCGAAAACATTTATGTCAAAAGTTCAAGCCTCTGTCGTTAAAGTTCCAGACAGTGAACTCATTGAATTTCTTCAACGTTACATTCGACGTAAGAGGAAATATTATGCCATCGTTGAATTTATACAGTCAGGAATGCAAAAGACTTCTGAGGAGATGGAAAGAATTATTGACAAACACCACTTACGTCAGTACTCAGGAGTTTACGATATGAAACGACTTACAAACTACATTCTATCAAAACTTTCAAAATACCCCTTCAAAAAATATCCTTCAAATACTTTGTTAGTTTGCGACGACTTCGCCGGAAAAGGTTTAGTTCAAAACCAGACTCACCATTAGCTAACATCATTACTAAAGTCAGACATTACTTAACTGTAGCAATACTTATGCAAACATGGAGGTTTTTAGCTTTAAACATAAAACGTCTCATAACTGACTTCGTTATCTTTCAAGGTTTCTCACGTTATGATATTGAACTCATTTGGAAACAGTCAGGTATAACATTACCTTTTGAAGAAATTTGGGAAGCATATAAGTCTCTCATCTCTCCTCGTTCATACCTTGAGATTCATATCATGACTAATACCATTAAAGTCAAAAATATTCCATGGGAACGACCAACATTGTTTTAAAGTTTAACCTTCAATTGACTGATGGTAAACAAATTCCATGCATCTCTGTCGCCATTTCTGTTAATATTTTTGCTGTCATTCATATCATCCACTTCCCCATCCGTTAGCTTTTGAGGATATGCGTTAGAATAGCTGTTCTTAAATGAAGGCTTTTCACCTTTGAGAGCATAAACTCTATAACTTTCTGCATACTTTATGTTTGAACCTCCTGAGCCATCATTGACATAAATTTTTATAGGCTTCCACCCTTTGTTCATGTTCCTGCTTCTTCCCTTAGCTCTTTTGTTCAGTAGTTCTACATCTTTATACACAGCACCTGTCTCAGTGAATTCAACAATATTTTCATTCGTTAGCTTTACATTCAAACCCTTGTCGAGTATATTGTTCATTTCATACATATAAAAGGTTTTTATTCTATATGAAATGAGAAGCAAATCCATCTTAGCTGGTGCCGTTAATGTTCCAATTGAACCAACATCAAATGTTGACTCACGAACGACAAACAATATTGTCATAAAGAACTATAGTTCAGAGTGTTTGAAAGAAAAGAACCAGAGCTGAAATCCGTGAATTTAAACACAGCTTCAAACGCTAACGCTACATCAGATGTTAAGTTAGAGTATCCACCACTGGACCAAATTCTTTCAAGAGAAGCCAACGACAACCTTACACAAATGTTCAAACAAATCCTTCAGATAACGTAGACCATTACCTTCTTCAGTTATACCAAACAATTTTACTCAAAGACGATAAGAAGCTTTTGAAATCTTATAAGCAAGAACCAAATAATTCTAACAAAGGAGGACCTTGAAAATGTTATATCACGAATAACAGGGAAACAATGTGTCATTGACTATCTCGACCCTGAAATCGAATGCTGTGGTCAAACTCCACTATTCATGAAAATAGGTAACATCCGCATCATTGAAACACCAGGAACTACAGGAGTTGAGTTTAAGTATAAATATTCGAATGAATATACAAAACTTTCAACAGAATATAAACTTTGTTTGAAATATGTTTTAGTAAATTAAAGCAGTCAGGAGGGCTCTTTGAGCCCATCTTGGCGCTTTGCGCCGTCAGTCAAAAAAATTTCAAGTTAGCAATTTGTAATATCTATCCAAAACTTCTTCAACAGTATCGAACTCATCTTCATAATGCAAACCTAATCTTATTGACTTGGTGCAGTTTTCACTAACACAATATTTTTCTGTTCTCTTGACTGACATAACTAACTCATTTGTTTCATCAAACAGCAACAACCAAAGTTCATGACCTAATACATAACATTCATACTTTATATTTTTAGCTCTGAGTTCTCTTGTAAGCTGTTGCATTTAATATTTTCTAAAAAGTCAACTTCAACAGTCATTCGCACTGGTGCCTTCAGTTCTACAGGCTCTCCTTGAAAGTCAACAAGTCTGAATTGCATGTCT